TTATCAATCAGTCCCCTGGGCATAAATTAATTCTGTTGATAGTGTCATTAATTTAGCCTATGATATACAATTGACAACACTGTTGAGAAAAGGACATTATATAAGCATAAGCTGGCTATGAGCCTCAATCCATGAGTTGTTGAGTTATACAGATTAAGTTCTTAAGTGCCTAGACACTATTTACACACACAGTGGGAGTTGGTAATGGGGTAAAGCTTTCAATAATTTTAATTGAGAGTGATAGAACCACACCTATCAGATTAATGCATATTATAATAAAGAAAGGAGAGCATTGTAATTGTTCACATGTATAGTAGTCCAGGGGCCATTCATTGGGCACGCTCAAGGCAAGAGATGGGAAGCAAAGTCCAACCATTGCCACTTTTAACCCTTGGGAGAGGAGTCATCTGCATCCCCTCATGCTAGGAAGTTTCACTCTTAAGTCCAAGGGCTGCAGGTGAGTTTGAGGTAAAGCCCATTTTACTTAGTGAACAATTTTAACTGGTCCTCTATCCGTCAAAGATAATAAATCTGTAAATAGGCCTTGATTCTGTAAGAAGGTGCACAGAGACTCAAAGAGAAATGCTAGTATCTAGAAGTAGAATCTTTGAGGTTGAAAAATTTCACTACCAATTAGTAAGTAAGCAAGCGTAAGTAAACCTTATTTATTGGGAAATGCAGCACAGGTCTTCACCTCTACTCCTATTGCTGCCTGACCTTTAGAGAGTCCCTGGTTAGGGGCCTTTGAGTTGGTTCCAACTCATAGCGACCCAATATACAAATAATGAAACACTGCCCAGCCCTGCGCCATCCTTACAATGAATCGTTCTTATGTTTGAAGCCATTGATGCAGCCATTGTGTCACTCCATCTTGTTGAAGGTCTTAGTTTGTTTCACTGCCCCTCTACATTACCCAGCATGCTGTTCTTCTCCAGAGATTGGTGTTTCCCTGACAACACATCCAAAGCACTCGCATGAGACTACGTCTTGTCATCCTTGTACATGAGGGATAGTCTGGCTGTACTTCTTCCAAGACAGATTTGTTTGTTCTTTGCGGCAGTTTACGGTACTTTCCATTGTTTCCATGAGCGTTCTAATGCAAATGCATAGGTTTTTCTTTGGTCTTTCTTATTCAGTATCCAAGGTTTCGTGAATATGAGGTGATTGAAAATGCCATGGCCCAGATCAGAAGCCCCTACATCCCCAAAGTAACATCTTTATTTTTCAACACTTTAAATAGTTCTTGTGCAGCAGATTTACCCATTGCAATGAGTTCTTTGATATTTTGACTGCTACTTCCATGAGCATTGGTTGTGAATCAAAGCAAAACAAAAATCTTTGAAAACAACAATTTGTCTCTGTTTTCCATGATGTTACCTACTGGTCCAGGTGTGAGGATTTGGGTTTCCTTTACATTGAATTGTAAGCCATACTGAAGGCTGCAAAACTTGAGCCACATCAGCAAGGGCTTCAAGTCCTCACTTTCAGCAAGCAAGGTTGTGTCATCTGTATACTAACACAGATTATTAGCAAGCTGTCCTCCAATCCTGATATTACATTCTTCTTCTTATAATCCAGCTTCTCTGATTATGTGCTCAGCATACATATTGCCTAAATATGGTGAAAGGAGGCAACTCTGACATACATCTTTCCTGACTTTAAATTATGAATGAAGTATGCCCTTGTTCTGTTTGCACAACTCTTGATTCGTATACAGGTTCCACATGAGCACGATGCAGTGTTCTGAGATTCCCATTCTTCTCAAGGCTACCAATTGTTTGTTGCTGTCCACACAATCCAATGCCTTAGTATAATCATTAAAACAAAGTAAGTATCTTTCTGTTGTTCTCTGCTTTCAGGCAAGTTTCATCTGATGTCAGCAATGATACTGCTTGTTCCTTGTCCTCTTCTGAGATCAGCACAAGCCTCTGGCAGTGAGTTCCCTGTCAAAGTACTGCTGAAATGGTTGTGAGATGATCTTCAGCAAAATTGCACTTGCATGCCATGTTCATTGTACTGCTCTATGATTTGAGCATTCTGGTGGGTCACCTGTCTTCAAAATACATGTGTGTATTACAGGTACATATATGGATTTCTTACAGTCAGTTGGGCATGCCGCTGCCTTCTAAATTTCCTGACATAGATGAGCCAGTGCTTCCAGGGCTTCCTCAGCTAGTTGAGACCTTTCCATTGGCATGCCATCCATTCCTGGAGCCTTATGTTGGCCTAATGTTTTCAGTGCAGCTTGAACTTCTTCCTTCAGTGCCTTAGGTTCTTGTTCATATGCTGCACCTCTAGAAATGGTTGAGTGTTACTATTTTTTTTTTGTATAGCAACTGTGTATTCTTTCCATGTTCTTTGATGCTTGCTACATCGATAAGTAGTTTGTCTATCGATCTTTCAATATTGCAACTCAAGGCTCGGGGTTTTTTTTTTCCTCTTGAGTTTAAGATAGGCTCAGCCTGTTCTTCCTTTCTGATTTTCTAACTCTGCGGTCATTAAAGTGTTTTACTTTGTCTCTTGAACTGCCCTTTGAACTTTTCTGTTAATCTCTTTGACTTTATCATTCATCCATGTGTCTTAGCTAGTCTATGATTAAGAGAGATTTCAGAGTCTCTGACTTTGATCTTTTCTCTCTCTCTTATCTTTTTAATAACCTTCTGCTTTCTTCATGTATGATGTCCTTCATGATCTCATAGTTCTGTCGTTAGCATTCAATGTATCAAACCTTTTCTTGCGATGTTCTTGAAATTCATGTGGGATATACTCGAGGCCATATTTTTGCTCCTCGTGCACTTGCTTTAACTTTCTTCAGCTTCAATATGAACTTACCGATGTGTGATCGATGTTCTGTTCCTCAGTCAGACCCTGGCCTGCTTTTTTATCTGCTGATAATGAGCTTCTTCATGGTCTCTTCCTATGAATTCAGTCAATTTGATTTCTCTGTATCCCATCAGGAGTTCATGTGTATATTTAACTTTTGTATTGTTGAACAAAGGTATTTGTGATGAAGGAGTCATTCATTGATCTTTCAAAATTCTATCATGTGATCTCTGGTTTCATTTCTATCACCAAAGCCATACTTTGAAGCTATTGTTCCTTCCTCTTTGTTTCCAATGTTTTAATTCCACACACCAATTATTTCATGTTTGATCAATTTCAGACCAAACATTTTGTTGGATTTCTTCAACGTCTTCATCACTCGCTTTGGAAGTTGGTGCATAAATTTCAATAATAGCTGTATTGATGTGATTTTCTTGAATGTGGATAGATATGATGCTGTCACAGGCAACACTGTACGTCAAGATAGAGCTTAACATTTTTCTTGATGATTAATGCCAAGCCATTCTTCTTATTTCATTCCCAGAATAGTAAACAATTTTATTTCCTGATTCAAAATGACCAATGCCATTCCTTAGCCGCTCACTAACGATGAATGTTGTTCTTTATGTGTTCCATTTCATATTTTATCAATCTAATTTTCTTAGGTTCATACTTCGTACAATCCAAATTCTAGTATTAATTGATGTTTCCAGCTGTTTCTTTTCATTTTCAGTGGTGCCCCATTGGCAAATGAAGGTCCTGAAGGCTTTGTAACCACATACTTTGCTTCATTCACATCATTATGGCTGATTCCACTTTGGGAAGGTTGCTCTTCCTCGGTGATGTTTTGAGGGCTTTTCCACCTGAGAGGCTCATCTTGTAGCACTGTCTCTTGTCGTGTTCCGCTTTTTCCCATGAGGTTTTCTGTATCTGACAATATTTCGATGCTATCCATAGAGTTTTCCGTGGTAATTCCTGTGAAGTAGACAGCCCGTTCCTTCTTCATAGTCTGCTCTTAGTGGGGAAGCCCTGCTGAAACCTGTTCACTGTGACCCTGCTGGTATTTGAACTACCAGTGACATTCCAGCATCACCACGACACACAAGCCACCACAGAACGACAAACTGACAGACAAATGGTGGCCATGTTCCCTATGATGGGTTAAAAAAAAATTGTCTCTTAATTTCTTTCTGCTGTTTTTACAGAAATGCCATAAAATGTCTGGTTTTAAAGAACAGATATTTATGCTCTCATAGTTCTGGAGGATAGAAGTCAGAAGTCCGAGCATGAATTTTGGGAAGGTTCTTATGTGTGTAGTTCAGATTATAATAAGTGGAAACACTGGAAGTTGTTGGGCTTGTCGATTCATCTGCTTCTGTCAGATAGCAACAGGCTTTCCTGTTGTGTATGTCTGGGTCAGTTTTTATTTTCTTGTAACTCAGAAGTGATTAGGTTTAAGATACACTCTAAACCTGCTATGACCTCAAATTATTGAATGTATTCCATAATGGAAGATGAGCTCATTATACCTACAGGTTTAGGTTTTTTTAAATGTCACCCAGTTGATTCTGACTTATAACAACCCTATAAGACAGAGCATAACTGTTTCAGGGTTTCCAAAACAAATCCTTACAGAAGAAAACTTGTCATATCTTTCTCTCAGAGATTAGCATGTGGGTGTGAACTGTCAAACTTTTAGTTACCAAATGAGCTAACCAGCACTGCTACCAGGTTTCCTATCCCTGGGTAGAGAGATTAGAGTTTCAACATACATATATATTTTTGAGGGATCCACTCCACAAAAGCACTCAGCCCTGGTCTTCAGCGTCACCTCCATTACTACCATCATTTTAGGTACTCTAGCCTGTCAAAGAAATTCCCAGCTACATCATGGCTACCTAAGACTTTGGCTTCCTGCATGTCTTCAACTCAGCCAGCTCCCCACCAGACATTACTCCCGACACAGCCACCGCTAGAAACTGCTCTGCTCTGAATTCACCAGTACAAGCATGCTGACCATCATCTTCTCTACCTCCGACAGGCGATAGAGGGCTTTTCCACCTGGGTGTTTCCCATATACCTTGACGTCAAAGCGACGGAACTAGAAAGCAGTCAGACACATACTTATATATTTAAGCTTTAATCAAAATTGTTGATGGAACAAAACCGAGGCTTCCTCAGTTATGAAAGTTTTCCTCTGATTTGGGACTGTCAGGGGTCCTGCTGGGCTTTGGGGCCCACCCATCATTTTTCTCTGGGCCAGGGCATCGTAGTGACCTGTGTGATGGCTACATTCTTGAACAGGCGACTGAGGTCAGGGTGGTTGTATATGGCCATGTCCACATGTTGTGGAGTGATGTGTCTTTTGTTGTCACCGCGGGCCATATTGTCAGCCAGCTCCAGGATGCTGTCCATCAGATACTCCAGAATGGCAGTGAGGAAATCAGGTGTAGATGGAGACAGACGGTGGCCATAGTTACCCTGTTGCAGAAGATGATATATGCAGCTATTAGAAAGCCTCTGGTTAACTTGTGCATGGCAACCACCAGTCGTCTTCTTGTTTCTGTAGTGGTTCTGATGTGTCCGTTTGCCACCCATGGTGTTAGGTAGGTTTTTCTTGACTGGCTTACCCAGTTCAATTCTCCATCTGTCTCAAGGCTCTGAAGATGCTAGTGCTAACTCTTGCTCATTATGTCATCCTGCTCTAACCCTTTATTGGTCAGGAGCACCCTTTATGACACCTAGATTTGTGATGCCTACACTTGTGACACCTAGACCAGTCATTGGTATCCACTTGGCTTTTACCAGATCAGGGACCTAGCAATGTCCATGAACAGAGGAATCCTTAACTTTCTACTTGTTTACCATTGTAGGAATAAATGTAGATTTTAGTCAAAAATTATTCCTGTGCGTTATCTGATTCTGACTTTGCTCTGTTTTTTTTTTTAGCTCTTCCGCCCATTTTAACACACACAGTGCCTCATTGAATAGCAGTTCAATCGTTCTTGCTCTCATGCTGTAATAAAACCAGTTTTGTCTCCTTTTCTATATAGATTTCGATGTTCTTGATCAATACTCTGGTGTGTTTCTTTGAATACACTAGAATTAGTTATAATGGAGGTCAATTCTTTTATTAGTTAAATAGAATATTTTAGACCACATTCATTCCATATCTATACAAATGTGTGGTTTTTATTCTGTTTGAGAAGTATTTTTAACTGTTCTGGAAGTAGCAGCTACGTGCCCAGTGAATTCATCTACCAGAGCCAGGTAAGCATCGCTGACAGAGAAGTCAGCCTCCTGCGTATTTCAAGCCGCACAGTGTCTTGTCTTTGCTCTTGGATGAGTCCAAAGCACCAATAGAATTTAGTCAGAATTCTTTTTTTTTTCTAGTTTTAATTTTCCTCTTGACTAATTTTGTGTTTCCATTTTGGTTTTGGTACATTTACAGCCAATAAGTTATTCCCAGTTGTTGTAAGCAATTGTTGCAAATTTTATTTTTATGGTCTAACCATTGGATATTTCTGTAAATGGACTAATGGTTTATGCAGATCTAATTTCTGTGGGTGAGAATCAAAAGAGAATTAGTTTGTCAGTCTGTTTATCTATTTTTTTCAAACTCAAATTAATTAAGAAGTCGATGCCCCCCTGAAGTGGGAAAGCTCTGCGATACGGCGCAGGTGAGATGCTCTGTTTCTGTGTTTACTTTTGTGGCCAGCAGCTCGAGTTCTCCAGGCCTGTATCTCTTCGGGTTCACAATTGAGGAACACCTTCACCTCTGATTGTGTGTCAAATGCATTTCTACTTCCAGATCATGTTCTGGGAGAGAGTATAAAGTCGTTTAAGTGAGAGAATCTCTGTCATTGCTCCATTTGATGTTGTTAGGTATTGTTGAAGGGGTTCCCACTTGCAGTGAGAATCTGGATACAATTGAATGTAAAACTGCCCAATCCTATGCCATCTTTCCTAGGTTTGTAGCCACTGATTGATAAGTGGAGTACTAATATTTTACGTAGTATATAAAAATATTCTCCAAGAAATAAAATAAAAATCATTTTAAGATTTCAAATTTGGTAAATATTTGGCGAGCAAGGTGAGTTTGTTCTTTACATATCAGCAGTCTTTTAATCAAATAGTGCTGGAACATCCATACAACCATATTTAAAGGAGCTAAAGTTGATCCATACTTCACACTGCATAGAAAAGTTAACTCAAATGTGTAAACTAACTTCATTTCAGAGCTAAAGCAGATAATTTTTAGATAAGAGATGTTACAGATTACATTGTGTCCAAAAGATATGTTGAACTTCCATCTCTTGTGTTGGAAGTAATCTAGCCAGAATGCTCCTTAGAAGTGAGAATGGTGAGACTTTGTCTACACATTTCAGTTATATTATCAGGTGGAACCAATCCTAGAAGGTATATATATATATTCTTTTATATAGTCCAACTTCTTGAATTATTTGTTCAGCAAACAAATTGAATAAGTGTGGTGAAATTAAATAACCCTGATGCACACCTCTCCTGGTTTTAAATCATGCAGTATCCTGTTCTTTTCTATTCTAACAACTGCCTCTTGATCTATGCACAGGTTCGGTATGAGCATAATTTTTAAATTAGACTTTTAATTTTATTATTTTTCATTATATTTAAAAATTATTGTGCTATCATTTTATTGGGGCACATTTCACATGTCATACAATTTAATCATTCAATTATATTAAAAATATTTGTACAATCATCACCACAATCATTTTCAAAATATTTTCTTCTTGTACTCTTTGTTGTTATGTGTTTTGGATATGTTGTCAGGAGAGACTTAGCCCTGGGGAAGGTCGCCATGTTTGGTAAAGCAGAAGAGCAGTGAAAAAGAGGAAGACCCCGGAGAGACAGAGTGACACAGAGGCTGCAACAATCGTCTCAAACATAACGATTGTGAGGGTGATCCAGGACTGGGTTGAATAGTGCTTAGTTCTGCTGTGCATAGAGTCATTTTGGGTTGGAAGCAACTCGAAAGCTCCTAAGAAAAATGTACATAGAAAAGGATACAGGGATATAGATAGCTTCACCGACCCCATTGTTCAAACTGCAATCAAGTGTCTCTTCCAAGAAGCCCAGGTGCCATGTTCTGTTCTATAGATGGTCATGCAAAACCTGTACATAGACCAAGAGGCAGTCATTTTTGATAGAACAAGGGGCTACTGGTTTAAAACCATAAGAAGTGTCCTTTCTTCATACTTATTCAATCTGTTTTCTGAGCAGATAGTTGGAGAAAGTAAACTCCATGAAGGTGAGCCTGGCATCGGCAATGCAGGAAGCCTCATTAACAACCTGTGGTATGAACGTGGCACCACCTTCCTTACTGAAATAGAAGAACATTTGAAGCCCTTAACTGTTGAAGGTCAAAGCTACAGTGTGCAGTCTGGATTCCACCCCACAGTAAAGAACGCAACAATCCTCAGACCAGGACCAATAAGGACCGCCATGATAAACAGAGGAACACTGATTTGGGCCAGGGTTTCATTTTACTTGAATCCATAGCCAGCACCAATAGGCGCAGTGGTCAAGAAATCGAGCATATCGCATGGGGAGA